TGTTGTTCGAATTGGCTACAACGTTAGTGTAATGGGAAGGAATTTCCGTGCTCTAGAGGTTAAAATTGGGCTGACACCTCTCAAATAGGAGGCGAAATTGTTGGATGTGCATTCCTGCATAACTTGAGATATCAGGCGACTGGACAAGACAGCTCCAGGAACCTCAGATAAGTCTTATCTTATAACTCTGGCCAGTTATTTTCATGTATAGACAGAGGTTTTCCGAGTATGATACACATTAATCTCCAGTCAAATTGGCGAGTGATTTTAAGATATTCTCCTTCTGTTATGTATATGTGTATCTATAATCATTTATTAATGATTTTTAATATACAGTCCACAAATTTATATATTTACCAGCATTACTGGTGATGTACATTTCATTTAATTAATAGGTCCAGAGCAACTTGTTGATATGACGGTGGTAGGTATCGAAGGGGGACATTTTTTGCAACCTAGGTGTCCCAAATTCCTACTTGTCTAACTGATAAATAATAATTATCTATGTTTATTTACTGTTATGTAAATAATGATACATTCAGATAAATGCAATTTTCCACACTACCAACTATTCCATACACTGGCAACATCTGCCACATTGCTTCCCTATCCATCCTAACATACGCCCTTTTCCAAATCCATAAAAAAAAAAAAAAAAAAAAACCTACATCTAAATACTGTTCACTTCCATGCTTCACTGTAAACACACTACACATCCCCCTACCCTTCCTAAAGCCTCATTTTTCACCTGCAATCCAGTCAGTCTTTCAATTCTTTCAATAATAGCTACCATACACCTTGCAAGGTATACTAAACAGGCTTTATTACCATATATTTCTTACACTTTTGTTCCCTTTATACAAGGAACTATGTAAACTTCAAATATTTATTAAATAAAACCACCAACCATTCCAAAACTATCCCCACCTGCTTTTAATATTTCTCTTGATCCCATCAATCCCAGCTGCCTTTATCCACTTTTATTCTATACACCGCCTTATATACCACCCTCACACTCATTTGGCTCTTCCTCACTCCAAGATTTTATACCTCCATGGCCAATGCACAATTATTATTATTATAATAAAAAAAGAAGCGCTAAGCCACAAGGGCTATACAGCGCTGCAGCCAATGCACAAGCTCACAGCTTCCCTATCTTCATGTGGTTGTTTAATGTATTTATAGATGGGGTTGTAAGAGAAGTAAATGCGAGGGTCTTGGCAAGAGGCGTGGAGTTAAAAGATAAAGAATCACACACAAAGTGGGAGTTGTCACAGCTGCTCTTTGCTGATGACACTGTGCTCTTGGGAGATTCTGAAGAGAAGTTGCAGAGATTGGTGGATGAATTTGGTAGGGTGTGCAAAAGAAGAAAATTAAAGGTGAATACAGGAAAGAGTAAGGTTATGAGGATAACAAAAAGATTAGGTGATGAAAGATTGAATATCAGATTGGAGGGAGAGAGTATGGAGGAGGTGAACGTATTCAGATATTTGGGAGTGGACGTGTCAGCGGATGGGTCTATGAAAGATGAGGTGAATCATAGAATTGATGAGGGAAAAAGAGTGAGTGGTGCACTTAGGAGTCTGTGGAGACAAAGAACTTTGTCCTTGGAGGCAAAGAGGGGAATGTATGAGAGTATAGTTTTACCAACGCTCTTATATGGGTGTGAAGCGTGGGTGATGAATGTTGCAGCGAGGAGAAGGCTGGAGGCAGTGGAGATGTCATGTCTGAGGGCAATGTGTGGTGTGAATATAATGCAGAGAATTCGTAGTTTGGAAGTTAGGAGGAGGTGCGGGATTACCAAAACTGTTGTCCAGAGGGCTGAGGAAGGGTTGTTGAGGTGGTTCGGACATGTAGAGAGAATGGAGCGAAACAGAATGACTTCAAGAGTGTATCAGTCTGTAGTGGAAGGAAGGCGGGGTAGGGGTCGGCCTAGGAAGGGTTGGAGGGAGGGGGTAAAGGAGGTTTTGTGTGCGAGGGGCTTGGACTTCCAGCAGGCATGCGTGAGCGTGTTTGATAGGAGTGAATGGAGACAAATGGTTTTTAATACTTGACGTGCTGTTGGAGTGTGAGCAAAGTAACATTTATGAAGGGATTCAGGGAAACCGGCAGGCCGGACTTGAGTCCTGGAGATGGGAAGTACAGTGCCTGCACTCTGAAGGAGGGGTGTTAATGTTGCAGTTTAAAAACTGTAGTGTAAAGCACCCTTCTGGCAAGACAGTGATGGAGTGAATGATGGTGAAAGTTTTTCTTTTTCGGGCCACCCTGCCTTGGTGGGAATCGGCCGGTGTGTTAATAAAAAAATAATAATTAGTAGTTTCTCAAAATATTCCTTCCATCTTCCTGATACCTCTAACTCTCTATCTAATAACTCCCATTTTTAACTGAAATCCATTCATTCTCTAGGCTGCCAGCTTATTAATCTCAGTCCAAAACTTTTTTCTTATTCTCAGCAAAATTTATTTCACTTGTCCAAAAATTTAAAGATTTAAAGTCCTACCTGCATAATGAAATGGAATTAGACTTGGGTTTTGTGGGTCTAGTCAATACTGGTCTTTTCCTAGCAACATCCACAGGTTTCACTGGAGCCTTAAGCCCACGGAGTGATACACTGCGATTACCAACTTCTCCCAGTGCAGGTCTGTGCAAAATAGGACCTTGTAGAACCTTTGCCTCTACTTTCCTTGGCCCATTATCAAACCCAATCACCTGAAAAAAAAGAAAAATTTACCATAAAGATTGACCTACTAAATAAAGTGGGTATTAGCATGCTGAAGCAGACAGACAGGACTTGTCAATGAGCAAGTTCGACAAATTTAGAAAGGATATAGGTAGTTCTGGTTTTACAATTGCTGTAGAATGGAAAAAAAAAACTCACAGGTAGCATCATTTGGTATAGATTTTTGGGTAGCTTAACCCTTTGAGGGTTTTGGTCGTACTAGTACGTCTTACGCGTAGGGGTTTTTGATGTACTAGTACGCATAAATTCTAGCGGCCTCAAATCTAGTGGGAGAAAGCTGGTAGGCCTTCATATGAAAGAATGGGTCTATGTGGTCAGTGTGCACAGTCTAAAAAAAATCCTGCAGCACACAGTGCATAATGAGAAAAAAAAAACTGACCATTTTTTTGGAATAAATCAGCGACTTTGCAGTGTATTTTCGTATGGTATATATTGTTGTATTCTAGTTTTCTTGGTCTCATTTTATAGAATGGAAGACATATTACAGAAATTGAGATGATTTTGACTGGTTTTACAATGAAAGGTGCCTTGAAATTGAGCTCAAAGTAGCTGAAATGTTCGATTTTTACCAAACTTCAAAAGTAAACAAATCGTGCCAAGCGTGCAATACACGTCAACTGGCGAGTCTAATATTCTTTCACAAGTGCACCAATAATATTTATACCATTTTTTACACTAGTGCAGTAGTCTGCATAACAGTAAATCTTATATTTTTTGTGAGAATAAAAATTCAAAGTGGAAAGCAAAAGAATATAAGAGGGGCCTTGAGACGTGACTAATGACTAGAGGAAATGTAATTTTAGTGCCAGGAATGTCTTTCTTGTTTATTCTGGACCCTATTCGGAAATTGGCATCTTTTGAAATTTGTGTAAAATGGCAAAATTGCTAAATTCTGACCACTGTACTGGATAGTTTAATTTCATAAATGGGTGGTTTCGTGCACCCATTCGATAGAAAAAATGGAGTTCTAGCGAAATATTCATGTTTCTTGTCGACTAGTACAGTGAAATTGGCCGAAAATGGGGCTCAAAGTGGGCAAAATCGCCGATGCGTAAACATCGCCGAGACCGCTAACTTTGCGAGAGCATAATTCCGTAAGTTTTCTATCAAATTTCAAACTTTTGGTGTCTTTATGATCGGGAAAAGATTCTATCTTTTCATAAGAGAAAATAATTTTTTTTTTTTTTAAATTTGGCCGACCCTGAGAACGAGTTTCGGAGAGGGCCTGTCGACCCTCAAAGGGTTAATGTAGGTTGACTAGGTACAAGAGCGAACGAAAATTCCTCAAATTCAGCAAAATTATCAGCAAGCACTAAAGTTAAAAGTCTGGGTTTAGCAAATACATTTAGGCACAAGTATAATTATCTGTGTCAATTACCTAAGATAACCCCCAAAAAATAGTGACATTTTTCCATTGGGGTCCTTCAATTTTAATATATCCCTTAGCCTGTTCACAGAACTGATGTAGGCAATTTTAAAACAAATTACACTGAATGACCAACTACATTGAAAGTTATTGTACCTGTGTTCAGAATACTTAGTGGTCTTAAAACCCACATAGAAAGTTTGAGACTAATTCCAGTTTTAGATATACTGTAATACTGTAAAGTATTCAATAAGGGTTACATATGTTTTAAAAGTTTTCAATTCCCTCTTGATGCAAGTGACCAGGACAGTCCATCACTGGGTCACCCATACAATCACTCCCCACACAACCTGCTTTATTTCCCAATACACACTTGTCATGGGCATGAACGTGTAAAAACACTCTTAAGCATCACTTACAAATCCACGTTCAACATACAACATTTTCACGTTGCAAAGTATCACATCACTTTAATTTAGAACTCAATCAGGATATTTTAATTACAGCCTGGTAAAGATTATAGCCTTTGCTCTCAAGACTCAACATTATTATATTCACATGCAGCCCCACAAAAGAAATATAAACATTTAAATGTTGGGATGAAGAAACATGGCGGGCAGAGTTGATGTAGCCAGAGTGATGGTTGTCTTAACCAGACTTACTGACGGCTGCATGTTACTTCTCACAGACATGTTGGTTGCTACAGCAGCAGCAGTAACAGTAGCAGCAGTGATGGAGGGGCTGGCTGGCTGGCGGGGAGGAAGATAACACCAGTAATGGAGGTGATGTAAGCTCACTAAACCAGTGTTCAAACTAACCGCTGAGACCCACCACACACCAGCCGTTTAAATACCACTCTGCACTCTCATTGGTCCGCTCTGCCGGTGCCTCGCCTCTCATTGGTCAACCTGCTCACCCTAAACCACGTTCATTGGTTGAGACGGGATTTAAACTATGACGTCACTAATCATATTTACAAAATATTTTTAAAAGACACAAGAGCAAAAATGAAAAATTCTATGTGATAACAAATATATACGTACGTCTATAAAATTACAGTACATAAAATGTATAAAACGGTAAGCACTATTTCTAAATTCAACATCATTTTTTTTACACTGAAGTAAATACTACCAATGTTTATTTATTTACGCATATGGGTTTAGCACTTTTTGTGAACATAATAATAATAATAATAATAATAATAATAATTATAATAATAATAATAATAATAATAATAATAATAATAATAATAATAATAATAGTTCAGGTAATATCACTAATAATTATTATAATATTTTTTACAGAGTTCAGGTCCTGTTCTGAACTCTTACTGTTTTTATTATATAAATACAATCATGTTATTTACTCCCTGGCAACAATTATTTTTGTACAAAATTGCCTTTTGGGAGTTATTATTAAAATAATACAATATATTTTGTCACGAGGTGTACGTCAGAGCCAATTAGTAATTAATCGGGCAGCGTTCCTGGCCAATCACAGCAGCGTAAACAAAAACGCATCAGAATGTAAACAAAGGCACATGAGTCTCATCTACCGTTAGTGGAGTAAATTTACCTTATTTTTGGGTAGGGTTACTCAAGTTTTTTTTAGATTAGGTTACTCTTCTTACTGTTTGATCTCTTCATTATATACCCCATAGACATCCTGGGGGAGGTAATCACCCCATTCCCATTGTTGGTAATAGTCAGCCCATCCCCATTGTTGGTAGTAGTCACTCCATACCCGCCCTGTTGGTAGTAGTCACCCCATACCCGTACCATTGGTAGTAGTCACCCCATAACCGCCCTGTTGGTAGTAGTCACCCCATACCCGTCCCATTGGCAGTAGTCACTCCATACTCGCCCTGTTGGTAGTAGTCACCCCACTTCCATTCTGTTGGTAGTAATCACCCCATACCCGTCCTGTTGGTAGTAGGCACCCCATTCCCATTATGTTGGTAGTAGTCACCCCATACCCGTCCTGCTTGTGGTAGTTATCCCATACCCATCCTGTTGTTGGTAGTCACCCCATACCCGTCCTGTTGGTGGTAGTCACCCCATTTCTATTCTGTTGGTGGTAGTCACCCCATTTCTATTATGTTGGTGGTAGTCACCCCATACCCATCCTGTTGGTAGTTTGCAATCGTGTCATTACGATTTCTTGAGTCATGTTGACGGCAGTGAAGGGACTTGAGCTAGAGTTCGTCACGGCCACGCTAGCTGGAGATTCGTCTGTAAAAACTTGCACTTGTGGTCACAGAGGTGCCTGTGCTAACCTTCCTATGGTGTAGAAATATACCTAGTTGGATGAATCTTATTGTGGCTAGCTGGTCCTAGTGGCTAACGCGACGGGCTGGAGTTTTGAGACTATGACCGCGGGTTCAATCCCGGCCGGGGGTATGGTCTGTTGGTAGTAGTCACCCCATTCCCATAATATGTTGGTAGTAGTCATCCCATTCCCATTATGTTGGGAGTAGTCACCCTATACCCATCCTGTTGGTAGTAGTCACCCCATACCCACCCTGTTGGTAGTAGTCACCCCATTCCCATTATCTTGGTAGTAGTCATCCCATTCCCATGATGTTGGGAGTAGTCACCCCTTACCCGTCCTGTTGGTGGTAATGAGAACCTTCAAAACTAGGGATACCAAGCCCATGATGACACTCTTCAGGTCGCTTGTTCTATCTAGGCGGCTGGAATGTTGCTGCGTTCTAACAGCACCTTTCAAGGCGGGTGAAATTGCTGACCTAGAAAGTGGACAGAGAACCTTCTCGGCACACATAACTGCGATAAAACACCTTACTTACCCATTACCAGTCCTGTGGGCTATACTTACCCCATACCTATCCTGTGGGCTGTAGTTACCCCATACCTATCCTGTGGGCTGTAGTTACCCCATACCCATCCTGTGGGCTGTAGTTACCCCATACCTATCCTGTGGGCTGTAGTTACCCCATACCCATCCTGTGGGCTGTAGTTACCCCATACCTATCCTGTGGGCTGTAGTTACTCCATACCCATCCTGTGGGCTATAGTTACCCCATACCCATCCTGTGGGCTGTAGTTACCCCATACCTATCCTGTGGGCTGTAGTTACCCCATCCCTATCCTGTGGGCTGTAGTTACCCCATACCTATCCTGTGGGCTGTAGTTACCCCATACCCATCCTGTGGGCTGTAGTTACCCCATACCTATCCTGTGGGCTGTAGTTACCCCATACCTATCCTGTGGGCTGTAGTTACCCCATACCTATCCTGTGGGCTGTAGTTACCCCATACCTATCCTGTGGGCTGTAGTTACCCCATACCCATCCTGTGGGTTGTAGTTACCCCATACCTATCCTGTGGGCTGTAGTTACCCCATACCCATCCTGTGGGCTGTAATTACCCCATACCTATCCTGTGGGCTGTAGTTACCCCATACCTATCCTGTGGGCTGTAGTTACCCCGTACTCATCCTGTTGGCGATAGTCACTGGGCCTCAACACGTATTTACCAACCAAGTTACAATGGTTGTGAACTATATTGTGGAAAATGCTGTATATTCTCCAAAAATACAGTGTATTTTATATGTAAAGTGATGGCCTATATTTGTAAATAAATAACCAGCGATGAGTGAGCGTCGCTGGGGGAGAGACGCCATTGTTTTGAATGTGATAAAGGCACGCTAATGAAATGTGCATAAATTTCGTCGCACTGAAGTTAAATTGTGGTTGAAACTTCCCAAATAGGAGCCGAAATTGTTGGATTTGCAGTCCTGCATAATATGAGCATTAAGCAGATGGACAGGACAGCTTCAGAACCCCAGCTAAGTCATGTCTATTTTGTGTTGAAATTCTGGCCAGTATTTTCTTCATAATATAGGCAAGGGGGTTTGTATGACACACTGTAATCTCCAGAATAATTGGTGAGTCTTATTATTATAAATTCTCCTTCAATGTATATGTATTCACATTTTATATTTAATATACAGTCCACATATTTATATTAATGTTTTTACCAGAATTCCTGGTGATGTATATTTCATTTGAAATTATTATAGGTCCAGAGTGACTTGTGGAGAGATAGATTATCATAGGTATCGAAGGAGGACATTTTTTGCCACCTAGGTGTCCTAAAATTCCTACTTGTCTCTGTAACCTTGATAAAGAATAATTATCTTTATTACCATTTACTGGTATGTATCTTATGAGTTACATCCAGGTAAATTTAATTTTCCACAATTGGTTGCCCGTTGGTCCTTGATCGAACTGGATGTAATTAGTGAAGTCATTAATTAGTGACTTAATAATTATATGTGAAATGACAGAAGGAGGTGGATGTTATGTCCACAAATTTACTTAATGTGTAGTAGATTATAATTATTACAGTATTAATTTTGCTAAGCCAAAGTCTGGCTAGGATTTATATTAGTGTATTGTATAATATTTATTTTGCTAAGCCAAGTCTGGCTAAGGTTTATATTAATGTGTATTTAAAATTTATATAATTTCCTTACATGAGTAATTGCTAAGCTCAAGTGTAGCTAAGATTATTAATGTATATTTAAAGTTTATACTATAATTTCCGTCCTCATCTCACATACTGAGGGTCCTTGGGTCGATCCCGGACACAAGTGGAAACGTTGGGCATGTTTCCTTACACTTGCTGCCCCTGTTCACCTAGCAATAAGTAGGCATCTAACAAATAATAAGTATGTGTTCCGTAGCTCGATCGCTTGCGCATTCAGCTCACACACTGAGGTCCGGGATTCGAATCTCCTTCTGTATGGCTGAAACACATTAGGGACGTGTTTCCATAAGACACTTGTTGTCCCTATCCCTATTCACCCATCAGTTTAAAATGGTACCTGGGTGTCAGTCGGCTGGTGTAGGTTGCATCCTGGGACAAAACTGACCTAATTTGCCCGAAATGCTCAGCATAACAAGCGGCTTTCTGTATAGTAGTATGTCATTGATATCAGCTATGGTCTGTATACCTTGTACATATATTTGTAGTAAATAGATATTATTATTAGGTACCTGGATGATAGTCGCTGTTGTGGGCTGCATCCTGGGGGGTGGTAGTATACCTTATATAAGGCTGGGCTTTGAAATAAGTTGAGGTAGTATAACAACTCTGCTGCAAATTCAACTGTAAAAAACATCTCAAAGCCTGGGTATTTTCATTATGAAGATGTATTGCCATGTCTGTTGTCACCAGTTTGAAGGCAGGATCAGTGATGATGGACTGATTACCTCATCTACTGTCCCCAGTTTATAAGTTCTGTATTGAATTAAAAAGACAAGTCACTGGTCGCCAAACATCTTGTAATCAAGTTAGCCAGGTGTTGTGCATGTGTCTAGTTGTGCCGCCTGAGCGGCAAGATAGTTGCGTATCTGCAGCTCATCCTATGACCGGTTGGTTTAACATCTTTATTATGCACCCCATTATTATTATAACCAAAAAGAAGCGCTAAACCTACTAGGGTCATACAGCATTATGCACCCCATACCCACCCTGTGGGTGGCAGTCAAAAGATTATAGGTACATAATGGGTCCAGTGACTGGGCCCCAATGTTTTGATAGCTGAACAAGTTTTTTTTTTATATTTTATTTAAAGCTTTGCACAAAATACAAGGAGGTATAAAATTATAGCAAAATGATACTTTGATACTGGATATGAACAAGAATCTCCAAATGTCACAACCCCAGTACAGAAAATAAGCACAACATACATAATGGCGGTATTACAACCCTAACACACAACTCACAACATACCATTCAATACCAGGTATTATACAAGGTGAACAAGTTACAGTGATAATGAACTATGTAAGTTTATATCCGGTCACAATCGAAATGAGTTATTTATACAAACATTAATTAGGCCTCTTTCTCTCTGGAATTCATTACCTTTGTAACTAGGTTAGCCATCATAACTTTGGGGTCCAGTCCCTGGACCCATTATGTACCTCTGTAATCTTTTGACTACCACCCACAGGATGGGTATGGGGTGCATAATAAACATATTAAACTAACTAAACTCTCATACACACACACACACACAATGTTAAACCATGAATGTGTACCTGTACCTAGATAAATTTACTTTTCAGTCTCCAAACGCTCAACTTCTCCTTGCAAAGAAATAAAATTTTAAATTTGTTGAATTTTAAGAGAGCAGCGGTCGGGTTCATTCAGTTCCTCGGCCGCTGTAACCCTTCAACCCAACAACAATACGACTGCCAGGCCGCAGCAGCTCTATAATCCAACAGTAACAACTATGCTGGCGGCATTTATCACTCGCAGCCGCATCTCTCTCACTCATCTCACTCGCAGCCTCACCTCACTGCCTCGTTCCAGTCTCCTTAACCACATACACTCATACGTAAGCAGTAATATTGTAAATGAAGGTACACTGGTAAGCGCTTTCTCCATCACAAAGGCATTGTCTATCCCAGACAATTCATCATAAACATAAAGAAGGAACACTGAATTGGCCTATTGGCCCAAGCCAGTCTGGTCCAAGTCATCTCCACTTAAGAAGGAAGGAGCACTGCATCAGACCTACTAGACCAAACCATACCACGGACAGGGATAGAACCCGCGATCAGAGAGTCATAAAATTCCAGACCAACATGTTAGCCACTGTGCCATCTCTGGCCCAGTGGCTAACACGTTGGTCTGGAGTTTTATGACTCGGACTGCGGGTTCTAATCCCACCCGTGGTATGGTTTGTTTGCAATCGTGTCATTACAGCTACTAGACCAAGGTAGTCAGGTTCAACTCACACCCACCCAGTGGACAGTCCTTGATGATGCATTGACTTTCTTGGGTTATCCTGAGTGGCTAGCCCTCCGGGTTAAAAATCCGAACAAAATCTTGTTTTATCTTGAAAGTTAAGACACATGTGCAACATCTGGATATCTTTATTGTAGACGTTTTGCCATCCAGTGGCTTTATCAATACAGCCAAACAATCCAGCAGAGTAAGTTTATTTAGGTACAAATACATGTAAGTATAGTTATACAAATTTAGGTGATTACAATTATCATACATAGTAATGTGCAAATTACCTAGGATAACCCCAAAAATGAAAAATTTATTTATTTCATTAAGGATCCCTGTAAAATCTTATTATTTAAGAGTAGCTATAAGATACAGTGGAAGTCAATCATGATTATAACCATAAAAAATAAAATAACTAATTCAGCTGCGTAAAAATCATTTATGGTAAAAAAGGCACAGTAGAAATAAAGTGAACATAGTTATTTATATGAACATAAAATAGAGAAAATCAGCTGACAGTAATTCAACTGCGTAAAAATCGTTTATGGTAAAAAAGGCACAGTAGAAATAAAGTGAACAAAGTTATTTATATGAACATAAAATAGAGAAAATCAGCTTACAGTAATGTTTCTTGTGTAAATTAGACTCAGAACCTCATAAAGTATAATAACTTGAGATGAATAACAATACACAACTTGAGATGCATAGCTCCAATTACCCCCATGATTGTGTTTTTCCTCTATTGTTTTAATTTGCCGTTTATTCTTTTCTACCATGTAATGCCTCAGATATACAAGCATACATAAATACATACATACACATACTTTTGACATATACAGTACAACAATAATAATAATAATATACTGTACATGTATAAAAAAGAGGGACCTTGACAAACTATAGGATTCTTTGCTCTGACAGTTACTCATATCTATTTAATATCTAAAATTATAGAGCCATGGTTGTTTAACATATTTAAAGATAGAGTTGTAAAATAAGTAAATGCTAGGGTGTTGGGAGATTCTAAAGAGAAGTTGCAGAGGTTAGTGGACGAGTTTGAAAGGGTGTGTAAAGAAAATGTTGAAAGTGAACATAGATAAGAGTAAGGTGATGAGGGTATCAAGCAAGTTAGGTAAAGAAAAACTGGATATCACATTGGCAGGAGGGAGTATGGAAGAAGTGACTGTGTTCAGATATTTGGGAGCAGACTTGTCAGCAGTTGGATTTATGAAGGACGAGGTAAACCATAGCATTGATGAAGGAAAAAAGGTGAGTGGTGCTTTGAGGTATCTGTGGAAACAAAAACGTTATCCATGGAGGCAAAGAAGGCAATGTATGAGAGTATAGAGGGACCAACACTTATATGGGTGTGAAGCATGGGTTGTAAATGCTGCAACAAGAAGGCTGGAGGAAGTGGAGATGTCATGTCTAAGGCAATGTGTGGTGTAAATATTATGCAGAGAATTTGTAATGTGGAAATTAGGAGGTGTGGAGTTACTAAAATTATTATTCAGAGAGCTGAAGAGGGGTTGTTGAGATAGTTTGGTCATTTAGAGAGGATGGAACAAAATAGGATGACTTGGAGGGTGTATAAATCTGTAGTGGAGGGGAGGAGGGGTAGGGTTCATCCTAGAAAGGTTGGAGGGAGGGGGTAAAAGAGATTTTGTGTGCAAGGAGCTTGGACATGCAGCAGGCATGTGTGAGCATGGTAGATAGGAATGAATGAAGACAAATGGTTTTTGGGACCTGATGAGCTGTTGGAGTGTGAGCAGGGTAATATTTTGTGAAGGGACTTAGGGAAACCAGTTAGCTGGACTTGAGCCCTAGAAGTGGGAAGTACAATGCCTGTACTTTACAGGAGGGGTTTGGGATATTGGCTGTTTGGAGGGACACCTAAACTGTTGTATATAGGCACCTCTGCAAAGTCAGTGATTATGTGTGAATGATGGTGAAAGTGTTTCTTTCTTTTTTTTGGGTCACCATGCCTCGGTTGGAGACGGCCAACATGTTGGATGAAAAAAAATACTATATTCAGTGTACATGTTATGTATACCATAGAACCAGACCTTGTAAGTTCTGTAGCCTTACCCAAATGCTGCACTGACTACAGTATACATGGAGGGTGTTTTGGGGGTCAGTGCTCCCATGGTCCGGTCCATGACCAGACCCAACATTGTTTGTTTTACGACACTGTAATTTTGCAGATTTGTTCTACATTATACTAACTATGTCTTTGTATGGTCAGGAAATCCATGATTTATCAAGGTATCCCTTGTCTACGGTGAGGCTAGTGAGACCCAGTGATGCTTAGCCTGTGTGACCAAATAAGGTTGACATAACCCAAAATGCCATACAATGAGGTACAGCAAATTATTCTCTTTGACATTTTTTTTTTTTCCAGAATATACATACCATGAAAATCAAGGAGAGTCAAATGGCTTCAGTCCTACGTCCAGAAGTCAAGAAATTAGCAAACATGTTTAGTGACTATGGATATGAATTGCGAATAGCTGGTGGAGCAGTAAGGGACTTACTCTTGGGGAATGTGCCGCATGACTTGGACTTTGCTACAACAGCAACTCCAGAAGAAATGAAGGCAATGTTTGAAACGGAAGGAGTCAGGATGATAAATTCTTCTGGAGAAAAACATGGTACTGTAACCGTACGTCTCGAGGAAGAAAACTTTGAATGCACTACTTTAAGAATTGACGTGGAAACTGATGGTAGGCATGCAGTGGTTCAGTTCACCAAAGAATGGGAGTTGGATGCTAACCGCCGTGATCTTACCATAAATGCCATGTTTCTTGGACTGGATGGTACTGTCTTTGACTATTTTGAAGGAAGTAAACATCTTCAAGATAGGTTGGTCACTTTTGTTGGTGATGCTGATAAACGTATCCAAGAAGATTATTTGCGGATTCTTCGTTATTTTCGCTTTTATGGCCGTATAGCAAATGGTCCTGATAACCATAAACCAGAAGTCTTGGAGAGTATCAAAGCTAATGTTGATGGTCTTAGAAAGATTTCTGGAGAGAGAATATGGGTGGAACTACGGAAAATAATTACAGGAAACTATGGAGATGATCTTCTAGTCAAAATGGTGGAGTGTGGTATAGGGCCTTACATTGGCTTCCCAGAAAATTTTAACTGTGACAATATGAGGACAGTGTATAAAAAATGTAAAGAAGCAGGTATACCAATAAAAGAAATGCATCACATGACTCTTTTGGCCTCTGGATTTTCAAATGAAGAAGAATGCATCAAATTGATAACAAGAATTAAGTGCTCCAAAAGAGAACAGGAGATCATGCTTCATATTATTAGATTCAGAGACTTTGCAATGCAAGCAGCTTCATTCAAGGAAATTAAAGATCACATTGTGGACCTTGTAATTGGTGAAAGAAGAAATAAAGACATTTCTTTGCTTTATGTAAGTGAGGTCTTAAAGTATGCTTGTAGAACAGATTATCTTGAAAACATTAAAGAGTGGGACATACCAAAGTTTCCAGTGAGTGGACACATGGTACTGGAGAAGAACATTCCTCGTAAGAAAACAAAATTAGCTATGGTAGATATGTTGGAGGAATGGAAAAAATCGGATTTTACATTAAATGCAGAGGAATTACTAGAGACACTAGATGCTACTCGCTATCAGTAAAAAAGAAATCCTTGAGTTCCAACTGCGAAAATGAATTACATGTACTGTGATGATGCTTTAATTGTGAGATGCTGTAATATCTTCAATAATTTTATGCAATAAAAGGTATTTTTTGTTCATGCTTCATTTTTTTTTTTTTTTTTTTTTTTTTTTTTTTTGTGCTCATTTGAAGCCAGTTTCAATTGATGCACATCATAAGTTCACAGAGGAAATCTTGTTATCACAGATACAGTGTAGATTTTAAGTTAATCTACACTTTTTTCTTCTGCCATATTGCTAATTACTAAATACAAGATGAAACTAAGACACAGGCAACATCTGGGTATCTTTATTGTAGACGTTTTGCCATCCAGTGGCTTTATCAATACAGATTCTTGGACATAATAAGAAAACAGAAGAACTATATACAAAAGATGAGGTAATCAGTCCCTCAGCCTTGAAGGTGGTGTATAGAGCACTGTGGTTATAGAGATTCTGAAGCACAGGCAAGGAGACTGGCGCTTATATAGGCGTCAGTGAATAGGGATGTGTAGCAGACGAGGGCATAGTCACTGGTAGGAGGGATTCCCCAGTGGAAGTAGGTCCTACCCAAATTGATGGGTTAATTGCAGTAGCCGCTTCACTTCTACTAAATACAGTTGAATGTGGATTATCAGTAGTGTAATAAATTTTGAATTTTTATAAAATAAGTTATGTATAGCTTCAAATCATTCTCATCATGACTGCAGATATTTACTGTTTCATTTTTTAATTTTGAATTTCTCTATTACATGCACTTTGAGGGGACAACCAAAACGTTATTTATATTAACTGTTACAAATAAGACAGATTTAAAAATTTTTTAACAAAACAATAAATGACATGCACTGAAGATATATACAACCTCAAGTCACAAGAAAATTAAATTATATCTCACTTGGTTTATGTGATTATCCTTATATCTTATCATATGCTTGCAGAACTTTTCACTGCTGGCATTGAATAGCAATAAAGTACTGTAACATTGTATTCCTTTGCTATACAAAATATCGGCATGTAAGGAAGCCATTTGAAATACAGTGGACCCCCGGTTAACGATATTTTTTCACTCCAGAAGTATGTTCAGGTGCCAGTACTGACCGAATTTGTTCCCATAAGAAATATTGTGAAGTAGATTAGTCCATTTCAGACCCCCAAACATACACATACAAACGCACTTACATAAATACACTTACATAATTGGTCACATTCGGAGGTAATCGTTATGCGGGGGTCCACTGTATTATAATGTTTCTAATATTAGCAAGGCTAGCAAATTTGGTTAAAAGAAAATTTATCCAAGAAAAATGGAATTAGGTACTGTAGGTTAGGATATTTCTAATAGGCTGTACTGTTTTTGGTCGTGTACGAAAGATTGGGGCAATTCACTTAATGCTTAAAATGGTGTAAGTTCACCTAACTTTTTGTTATAAAGCAGTCTCCCACCGATGCAGGGTGTATTAAATATGAACACTAAATCATTAATTTAACACATTGATATTAGACTGTTGCCTTTAGGAAAATATGTAAATCTGGCTGCACTATGGTATGTTCCTGATGGCTTATATATCAACTTACTTTCATGTGTTTGGAAAGCAAATTATTGACAAAATGCAATTTTTTTTTTTTTTTTTTTTTTTTTTTTTTTTTTTTTTTGTCTTGGATATTTAGATTGTACTCCATGGGGAAGTGGAACAGAATTCTTCCTCCGTAAGCCATGTGTGTCGTAAGAAGCGACTAAAATGCAGGGAGGAAGGGGCTAGTAACCCTACCTGTATTTTTTTTTTTTTTTTTTTTAACAAGTCGGCCGTCTCCCACCGAGGCAGGGTGACCCAAAAAGAAAGAAAATCCCCAAAAAGAAAATACTTTCATCATCATTTAACACTTTCACCTCACTCACACATAATCACTGTTTTTGCACAGGTGCTCAGAACACAACAGTTTAGAAGCATATACGTATAAAGATGCACAACATATCCCTCCAAACTGCTAATATCCCGAAACCCTCCTTTAGAGTGCAGGCATTGTACTTCCCATTTCCAGGACTCAAGTCCGGCTATATAAAAATAACCGGTTTCCCTGAATCCCTTCACTAAATATTACCCTGCTCACACTCCAACAGATCGTCAGGTCCCAAATACCATTTGTCTCCATTCACTCCTATCGAACACGCTCATGCAAGCCTGCTTGAAGTCCAAGCCCCTCGCCCACAAAACCTCCCTTACCCCTACCTGTATCCTTTTGGGCCACCCTGCCTTGGTGGGATATGGCCGGTTTGTTGAAAGAAACATTTAGATTGTAATTTACAAAATTTATTAAAGCCTTGGTAATACTAATTAATATTCATTTCTTACATGAATTTAAATATATGTATGCATACTGTACCTGCATTAGTGGTTTATGTTTTTAAATTTTGGAAGGATACCTGGTATACAGATATGGCATAAATAAAAAATCATTAGTGAATACAGCATTACCAATTCTCATGCTTTTAGTTAATGCTGTCTGCATGTATTTGTAACTGTCAGTGTAGTGAATGTTCTTGTTTATGCACAATCATGCCACATGTGGGACTTTACCAAACTACTACAGTACACACATTCTCTAAGAGGTAATGCAAAACATAGTATGCTAGAAAATTTCTGTGAAAATTGCAGACCCAGAATTTTTTTTTTTTTTCCATAGCCAGTTTTTTTTACTTTTGGCTTCACAATTTAGATTATTATTATTATTAATTTGACAGTGGTTAGTTAGAGGATTGGAGGGTTAATACAAGTGCAGTATGGGAGTTATAGTTGATGCATGTCACTTTCAGTTAGTCATTAAAGGCAGGATTTCAAAGAGGAAGGTAGGTAGAGCAAGAGTATTAGGACATTAAATGTGCAGAAGGTCCAGTCTGTGAACACAGCCTGGCATTTCTCCAAGTATGTATGTACATACATGAACGGTATGCTACATTATACTTTGAAGTATACCTGGAGGGGGTTTCAGGGTCAATGTCCCTGCAGCCCAATCTGTGACCAGGCCCTGCGGTGGATCAGGGCCTGATCAACCAGGCTGCTACTACTGGCCGCATGTAAACCAATGTACGAATCACGGCACAGCTGGTCAGGTACTGACTTTAGGTGCCTGTCCAACTCCTTGAAGATAACCAGGGATCTATTGGTAATCACATTATGTATGCGGGGAGGCAGTTGAACAGTCTTGGGACCCTGACACTTATTGTGTTGTCTCTTAGTGTACTTGTGGCATTCCTGCTTTTCATTGGGTGGATGTTGCATCGCCTGCTGAGCCTTTTCCTTTCATAGAGAGTGATTTTTGTGTGCAGATTTGGGACTAGTCCTTCTGGGATTTTCCAAGTGTATATTATCATGTATCTTTCTTGCCAGCATTCCAGGGAGTAAAAATCAAGGGACTTAAGCTGTTCTTAGCAATTTAGGTGCTTTATTGACTCAAGAAATCGTAATGACACGATTGCAAACATGCAAACTATGACCGCGGGTTCAATCCCGGCCGGGGGTATGGTTTAGGTGCTTTATTGTACTTAAATGTGCTGTGAAAGTTTTCTGTATATTCTCAAGGTCTGCAATTTCTCCTGCCTTGAAAGGGGCCATTAGTGTACAGCAGTATTCCAGCCTAGAGAGAACATGCAATTTGAAGAGCATCATCACAGGCTTGGCATTTCTAATTTTGAAGGTTCTCATTATCCATCCTGTCATTTTCCTAGCAGATGTGGTAGATACATTGTTGTGATCTTTGAAAGTGAGATTCTCCAACACTATCACTCCCAGGTCCTTCACATTAGTTTTTCGCTCTTTTGTGTGGTTGGAATTTGTTTTATACTCCAACCCAGTTTTTATTTCCTTGAGTTTTCCATAACTGAGCAATTGAAATATGTCTTCATTGAACTTCATATTGTTTTCTGTAGCCCATTTAAAAATTTGGCTGATGTCCACTTGGAGATTTGCAGTGTCTTTCAATGGATGACACTGTCATGCAAATTTGGGTATGCTATGGCTTACATCTCTGTCTGTGTCAGATAAAAGGATGAGAGCTAGTACTGTATCTTGTAGAACAGATCTTTTCACTGTAGCCACTTCTGACTATCTCTGTTTACTATTACTCTTTGTGTTCTATTCGCTAGGAAGTTATAGACTTATCTACCCACTCTTCCTGATATTCCTTTATAATACATTTATTTTCCTATTACACCATAATCACACTTGTCGAAGGCTTTTACAAAGTCTAAGACCAAGTCATAGTGGTCCAGTTGTTGTGAGAGGCAGGAGCGACCTGCTCTAAACCCATGCTGCCTTGGGTTGTTCAACTGATGGGTATCTAATTGGTTGGCAATCTTGCTTAGGACCCTTTTAAATATTTTTATGATGTGGGATGTTAGTGCTGTTAGTCTGTAATTCTTTGCAATTGCTTTACTGCCACTTTTGTGGAGTGTGGCTATGTCTCGTTTTTTATTGATTGCAGGATGACCCCTGTGTCTTTGCTCCTTTTCCATAAGAATAAGGCATGTGAAAGGGATTTCATGCAGTTCCTGATGAACACGGAGTTCCACGAGTCTGGGCCTGGAGCAGAGTGCATGGGCATGTCATTTATTGTTTTCTCAAGGTACTGTGGTGTTAGGATTATATCAGAAATACTTTAATTTACCACATTTTGAGTCTTGGTCATAAAAAAATTCATTCAGATTGTTGAGCCTTAGTCTGATTAACAGCTCACTAAAGACTGAGCCATATTGGGACTTAGGTATCTCATTCATTTCTTCGTTGCCATCTGTGTAAGTCCCATCTCGTTTAAGCAGAGGTCCAATACTGGGTGTGATTTTTGCCCTAGATTTGGCATAAGAAAAGAAGTATTTTTTTTTTTTTTTAATTTCTTGTGTTTCTTAAGATACTAGCTCATGTAGCAATTTTTGTTTAATTATACAGACCAGCAGCAGGTATTAGCAAGATGCAATGATTTTGGAATACCATAAGACACAAACTGTTGCTGTATTTATTTTTATGATGTCAGTGATTTCATCCATAAAAGTGATTTGTATTTAGAGAGAGTGACAAAACAAAATGGAATATACTCTGCTATTTTATTACATATGTTGTTACATATTACCCAGTACATACTTATTATATTCATGGAGAAGCACTAAACCTATAGGGGTCATGCAGCACCTAGGGAATGGGAGCCATTAGTTTTGATGCAAAGACGGGAAAGGTATTTCCAGTTTCTTCTGAAAAAGAGCTGTTCACCATCAAGCACTTAAATTCCCAACCTTTTGAAGGGCCTATACTGTACACGAATTTAAATAAATATACTGTACATAGTACTGTATTGTACAAAAGTTGTCAACATCTTATATATTTGCTTACATCTTGGAAGGTTCATATTTCATAGTTCATTATCGAATCTTGAAAAAATTATGTAAGAAAATTAATTAAAAACAAAAAATTTTCTCCAATATTTGCTGTATTATAAACTTGAGAATACACAAATAACTTGCCTTTAGGAAGGGAATGTAATGATGTTTTGCTCTGACTAGGACCAGTGAAATGGGAAAAAAGTCAAGAATATATACACCTCATGACAACACAACCGCCCCTCATGGCATACAACACTGAACTACACCTCATATAACAGAGCCATCCCTCATGACTACAATAATGAGCCATACCTTGAAACAAATAGTACTGAGCCACACCTCATGACGTACAACAATATGCAACACCTCGTTACACACAAAACAATGAGAAATTCATGACAAAATGTAGTGCGCCACAACTCATGACAATACAATGAGCTACACCTCACAAGGCACACAGTAAGCCACACCTCATGCGACAATCAGTGAGTCACCTCATAAGACACACAGTGAGCCATACCTCATGACATACACAGTGAGTTACCTCGTGAGACATACACAGGGAGCCACACCTCATGGGACATACACTGTGAGCCAAACCTTATAACTTGAAGCATTGAACCACACCTCAAAATATACAACAGTAAGCCACACTTCATGCCATATGCAACAGTCGGCCACACCTCATGACACATTCGACAGAAAACCACACCTCATGACATACAACAGTGAACCACAGCTTACAGCACATACAACAGAGAGCCACATATGACACACGCATCAGTAAGCCACACATACAACAGTGAACCACACCTCGTACAATAGTGGTCAATGCCTCGTGACACAGTGAGCCACACCTAATGACATACAACACAGTGAGCCACACCTTATGACATGCAACACAGTGACCCATGCCTCATGACATACAATACAGTGAACCACACCCCATGACATACAACACAGTGAGGCACACCTCATGACATACAAGTGAGCCACACTTCATGATATACAATACAGTGAGCCACACCTCGTCACATACAGTGAGCTACACCTCATGGCATACAACACAGTGAGCCACACCTATGATATACAACACAGTGAGCCACACCTCATGACATACAACACCGCCACACCTCATGACATACAACAGTGAGCCACACCTCATGACATACAACACAGTGAACCACACCTCATGACATACAATGAACCACACCTCATGACATACAACACAGTGAGCCACACCTCATGACATGCAACAGTGAGCACACCTCATGACACAACACAGTGAACCACACCTCATGACATGCAACAGTGAGCACACCTCATGACATACAACACCGTGAGCCACACCTCATGCCATACAACGCAGTGAGCCACTCATGACATACAACACAGTGAGTCAGACCTCATGACATACAACACAGCCACACCTCATGACATACAACACTGAGCCACACCTCATGACATACAACAGAGCCACACCTCATGACATACAACACTGAGCCACACCTCATGACATACAACACAGTGAGTCACACCTCATGACATACAACACAGCCACACCTCATGACATACAACACTGAGCCACACCTCATGACATACAAGAGCCACACCTCATGACATACAACACTGAGCCACACCTCATGACATACAACACAGTGAGCCACACCTCATGACACAGTGAGCCACACCTCATGACATACAACAGTGAGCCACACCTCATGACATACAACACTGAGCCACACCTCATGATGTACAACACAGTGAGTCACACCTCATGACATACAACACAGTGAGTCACACCTCATGATGTACAACACAGTGAACCACACCTCATGACATACAACACGTGAGCCACACCTCATGATTACAAACACAGTGAGTCACACCTCATGACATACAACACAGTGAGTCACACCTCATGATGTACAACACAGTGAACCACACCTCATGACATACAACACAGTGAGCCACACCTCATGACATACAACACAGTGAGTCACACCTCATGACATACAACACAGTGAGCCACACCTCATGACATACAACACAGTGAACCACACCTCATGACATACAACACAGTGAGTCACACCTCATGACATACAACACAGTGAGTCACACCTCATGACATACAACATAGTGAGTCACACCTCATGACATACAACATAGTGAGTCACACCTCATGACATACAACACAGTGAGTCACACCTCATGACATACAACATAGTGAGTCACACCTCATGACATACAGTGAGCCACACCTCATGACATACAACACAGTGAGCCACACCTCATGACATACAGTGAGCCACACCTCATGACATACAGTGAGCCACACCTCATGACATACAGTGAGCCACACCTCATGACATACAACACAGTGAGCACACCTCAGACATACAACACAGTGGCCACCCTCATGACATACAACACAGTGAGTCACACCTCATGACATAAACACAGTGAGCCACACCTCATGACATACAACACAGTGAGCCACACCTCATGACATACAACACAGTGAGCCACACCTCATGACATACAACACAGTGAGCCACACCTCATGACATACAACACAGTGAGTCCACACCTCATGACATACAACACAGTGAGCCACACCTCATGACATACAACACAGTGAGTCACACCTCATGACATACAACACAGTGAGCCACACCTCATGACATACAACACAGTGAGTCACACCTCATGACATACAACACAGTGAGTCACACCTCATGACATACAACACTGAGCCACATCTCAGCCTCACCTTTCATCGCAATTAACATAAATATATAATGTTTATAGTCAGGCATACCAACTGTTCCATTATTATAATCATGGGGGAGCACTAAACCCGTAGGAATATACAGCGCATGTGGGGGGTATGGAAGGTAGTCAGGCTCAATTCAGGGAACTGGAGTACAGATCCAATTCTTAGATCAAGAGCCTCTCACCAGCATCAAGGAACCTCCCTTGAGGGGACCAACTGTTATGACCTTAATAATTTTTCCTACTCTCTCTCCCCCTCTGTTGCTATCTCTCCCCCTTTGTTTCTCGACTCTCTCTCTCTCCTCTGTTTCTCCACTCTCTCTCCCCCTCTTTCTCTGCTCTCTGTTTTTCTACTCTCTCTCCTGTTTCTCTACCCCTCTGTTTCTCTCAGGTAAGGTCCTTGATGCCCGTGAGGGGCTCTTGATGCAAGGAACTCTGGTCCTCCCCTTGATGGAACTTGATAGCGTCCCACTCCCTGAGGCGCTGCACAACCCTTACGGGTTTAAGGTTAATATCTAAATATACAGATATAATATTTCTCATTTACCGTAATACTAGAGCATACAAGTCTATTCCTCCTCTATAACCCTTTTGGGTTTAGCGTTTAGTTTTGATTAATAAAATCAAGTGAAGCCTTTTTTTTTTTTTTTTTTTTTTTAATTTTTTATGGGAAAGTGTTATTTTTATGAGATGACTTAAGAGGGTAAAAGTGCGAGAGGAACAATACATGGTTCTCTGGCTGAGTTTCTCTCACCATTGATTACTCACAAGGTTTCCGGGAATGGTTGTGGAAAAACCAATATGTCATCCTAACACAAGAGGTCTTTTACCACTTTCATTTTACTCAGACTAAAGCTATTATTAATTAACTCAGCTGCAATTGCAATATAAAACATTTTGGTAACTTATAAATGCTATAAATTATAAATTATAGGTTATGTCGATAGAATAATCGTGTGTAGAACGTTTTTGTCTTTGTTAGGACCCGTGCACGTAATTATAGAATGCATTTAGAATAACTAAAAGCGCTTGTGATGTATGCTTTTTGGTGTAAGTGAAAGATTCCGATGTTCTTTTATTGTAGCAGTGACTGGTGGCGCTAGACTCCTGGCGTCCATTCACTCAGGAGACAAGATGGCGGCTGGAACAGCAGAGGCGATGAATCCCCCTTCGAAAAAGTATGGCTCTGTAGTTATTACGTTGGATAATGTGCTCATCCCGTTGGATAAGTTGTCCCCGAGTCCGTCGCAACAGGATGGCCTCGACCCCGAGATCGAGATGGACTTGAGGATCCTTGGATGTGAACTGATACAGACGGGTGGCATTCTCCTCAAGTTACCTCAGGTGAGTTGGCGATGTGTATTGACATTTCCTCTAAAATTCTTGCCTCGTCGTGTCGGAAAATAAAAATGACGTTTAGTAATGTGTTCTGTGGTCTGTGAAGCACTTACCAAGGGTAAATAAGGACGATAGGGAGTAAGGTGGTGAGCAGGTGCCAAGGCCGCCTTGAACCACGCAACACCAGGAAATAAAAATGAAACGCCATAAGGCCTTTTGGGATCATGCGAGGCCACCAATATTTCTGCCTAATATTTATCACTGGTATTTATCTAACTGGAGCCTGAAGATTTGCAGTGTGCGCTTCAGTAATTTTATGTAATAAAAGCAAGAATCAAGGTACAATGCAGTAGGCCTATTCTCCCATGCTAGGCAAGTTCAACCCAACCACCCACGCATACACTCGTGTACCTGTCCATCCTATATTTAAAAGTTCCCAAAGTTCTTGCTTCATATATCTTCATAAATATATTTGTCAACTTGAATCCATTACTGAGAGTTCTATCTTGGTTAGATATTTTCAATAGATTATTTGTCTCATGTTGCTGTATTCCAGTTGTTCTTTGCTGTACTTTTTTTTTGACGCATTCCGATAGTTATTCTTCTTCCAGAACTCAGTCTTGGGCCAGGCTTGTCTGGTGCTTGCTTGGTCAACCAGGCTGTTGGAATCACTTTCATCTTTCTATGTATATTTTCCAGTGCATTTGTATCCACACAGGTGGAATTTCAACTTCCAGTATTTATCCATTTCTTAAATCATTTAGTTTTTGCCAGTGTAATCAGTATTTATCCAATAATATGGTGGGTTTTCAGAAACCTGTTGAGGTCATCTTCAGTCTCTTTCATCATTAGTGTCTACTCCATACCAAGATGGAAACTGAGCCTTGGTCGTATTTTTTTCTAAGAATATCAAGTAATCTCATTGATGATCCTAAGTCTCAGATGAGGAAAAATGTTAGTATTGTGCATATTGCTTTTTTTTTTTATGCTGTAAATTTTCCATTGTTAAGGTGTGCAGTTGAGTTATATTTCAAGATTACGGGAAAGATGAGCTTTTTCGATGTGTTAGTCAACAAAAATAGAAGTAACCAAACTTAACATAACTTAGATTTTAACTATTACTATATGTTTAGTTAGGTTATTTTTTCTCATTTTGGTTGCCAATTAAAACCTTTTTTCCCATAAGCCAAAATATAGCTATTAATTGCATAATGGACTAACATTGGAGAATTTACATAACCGATAAATAAGCTAAAAATAAAATTCTCAACATTGACCTAAATCTGTGTGTTCCTACCAGCAGAGTTTTTTTGTATATAATTATAGTAAACATTGGGAAACTTGCTTGATGCTGATGGGGGGGGGGGGCTCTTGATGCAAGGACTGGGTCTCTCTCTCCTTGGATTGTACGTGATTGCTTCCCATTCCTCCCTTACAGGTTTAGCACTTCTTCCTCTATATAATGAAAGTGCATGTTAATTGTTTTATTCTCTATTTTGATAGTTTACACAGTATTAATCATAAATGTCATTTTTAATTAATGGCATACATTATGCAGATACTGTGCTGTTAGGAGCTTTAGATTCTATTCAGTCTATACAAATCCTGAAACTGACCATCCAATATTGTATCCACTGTACCATGATAGTCTAATAAGTCATTCATGATGGCTTTGTGCTAGTGCTTGCTACAGCCATGCTAGTAAGAGATTAGTCTGTAAAAATCTGCATTTGTGGCCACAGTGGGACCCAAACTAATCTTGCTAGTGTGTTGGCTAGCCAAGGGTGAATTGTCTTGTCATGGATTCAACCCTCACTCTGTTCAGAGAATTGTCAACAATTGTGCTATTACGATTTCACAAGTTGGAGCAAGAATTACCAGTTTGATGAATGTTCAGGAAAAAGAATAAAAAGATATACTACAGGTAAGATATCCTACATTGAGGTGCTACTGCAGTGCTCCACCCAACCCCACACATTCTTGTGTCAGTAAAACCTGTCAGAGCTTCCCAAGGTTCTCGCTTCAGTGACACTACCATCGAGTTTTTCATTTGACAACGACTATTGCCAAACCAATTCTTTCCATACAGTATCTATCCTTTCTAAATCTTAATATGTTCACCTTTAATTCATTTGCTGCAAGTCCCATTTAGATATTTTCGACACGCTGTTTATATCTTCTTTATTCTGGGTTTCTTTTTGTACACTTATGTTATATCCCCTCAACTCAATGCTTTTCCAGAGAATGTAGATTCACAGCCTTCAGCATATCCTTGAATGAAAGGTTTCTGATACAGGAGGGAGGGGTGGGTAAAAACTTTTTACTATAAAAATATCAGGAGCACAAGAAACAGTGGATGAGCTAAGACTAATTGCACACGCTGGATATTATTACTGTAATTACCAAAACCTAGTTCAGTGTGTAACGTAGGGACACGCCAGCTAAATGCCATATACAGGGCTGTAAATCATTACATTCTGATAGCTAAACTTTTGAAGGTATTCAGGGAAACCTGTTAGCAGGACTTGAATCCTGGAGGGGGTAAGTATAGTGCCAGCACTCTAAAGGGTGGGTGAGGAAGTTGCAGTCTATAGGACCATTGAAATATGTCAATCTGCTTTTGGCAAGGTAGTGACTGAATGAATGATGACGAATAATTCCATTTTTTGGGGTGTCCTTTCTCGGTGGAGTATGGCTGGTGTTTCAAAATCTAAACTACTTCATCAGAAAAGTTATAAAGGCAACAAAGACATACAGAATATGTTTGGCAGTTTCTTGGTCTTGAAAAGCTAATACGTATAGGGTGTGATGTTTATGTTAGGTATATTAAGTTTAAAATGCTTACATACATATTAAGTTTAAAGTATTTAAGTTTAAAATCCACATACACTGTATCTTGTCAGGCTGCAAAACATCTTTTCCTTTGAATGTCCAAGGACACAACACATCAAATCACATTCTTTGAGAATTGACTTAATGAAGATTCAGAGAAATTAGAAAGAAAAATGTTTAAAAATACAAACACTTTTTTAGGTTTCGTTGCGTCATATAATGAATGATGAACGGATCTCCAGTCAACCCCTTCCCCAATTTTGTAGGTGTTGCATCTCTGTATGTCCTTCAAAATTGCTTGTGTAGTTAAATTATATGAAGTACTTGTATATACAGTACATAAAAAATGATAACTATTCAGGATACTTTCAGTGTCATGGTTATTGTTGTAAAAATACTGTGGCTAATCATATTTTGGATTGTCCATCAGTAAAATCACTGCATATTTGAACTCTAAATTTTTGGAGATTCATTGTTTTAAATTTGCCATAAATGGTTTGATAACCTCGTATTTGCAACCTAAATATTTCAGATCATGAGTACATTTTTATAGCTTTAATTTTTTTTTCTTAGATTATCAGTATTAAGATTGCTGGTGATACATTCATCATGTTAAGTTCTTTAGCTCAGAACATGGTGACTTTGCTGGTCAGCTTTGGAAGCTGTCCTTTGTGGCTTTATAAACATTTCTAAAAGATTAAAACTGTGGTTTTCAATTCCTCGAGTGTAAGTGCCTCAGCTTCTCATTATTAATCTTTTGGTACTCAACTTCCACTTTTTACATCATTCATTCCTTTGTCATTCATTGGGCAGTGGCAAAACTTACTAGACGTACTATTGTAGTCGTCCATATGGTCAGGAAATCAAATGCGTGGCTGTATTAGTTATTCTCTTGTAGATTTTGCGTGTTTGAAGTTGCTCTGCTTTATTTTTTCTTCTAAGTTTTGGGTTGTGCTCAGTTCAAAATGTACAGTTGTTCTGCATTTAACTACTGTATTTACTGCGTTTTACAATTCATTCAGTTCCTCATGTGAAATTAGCTTTAGTTTCACTGTAGCAATTATTTGCTTCATTTTTTTAATACAGGTCGGCCATCACTAATCCGGCATCATTGGGACCTGTAGTGTGCCGGATTAGTGAGTTTGCCGGATTACAGAGTGGTTAGGTTAGAATACACTTGATTAACCTACCAATGGAGACTTTCTGCTATGTCTTCCTCATTTTCATCACTGCTTTCTCCTCCACTGGCTTGCTGCAGTGGATTTACAACCATCTGCACAATTTCTGAGTTGGTACAGTGATGAAACGTGTCAGTGTAATGATGAAATTTGAAATTATGCTAGCCAAAATTAGTGCGGATTACTGATGGAACCGGATGACTGATGGCCGACTGTACATAATCGGTAATCTTGTTACACGAAAAAAAAATTTGTGTTGACGCAATGGATTAGGTCTGTACAGTAGGTTCACGCCAAGGTAGTAAGAGAGTATATTGAAGCAGTTGAAAATATCTGGTGCGTGCTGCAGTATTGTGCATACTGTGTCTGAATAAAATAACTTTTGGCCCTTCCTAAGTGAAAAGTGTAGATTCGCCAGCATCTCTGAGTTCATTCGTCTTCTTGCTTTCCATCTTTTTCTTCACTTCCTTTTCTACTTTCCAAAGGATGACTCGGTTTGTTCTTAGAACTCAATTAATGTCTTTTTTGCAGACTATGGCAGTTTTCACTGGACACTGCTGGACAGCTTAGTTGATCTTGGATGCAGGCCTGATGAAGAAAGGACCATTGGTTGGACTTTAAGCTGCACTTGTCAAACTTCCTGTCAAAGCCTTTGCAAAGGTGAAGCTGTGGCAGAGAATGTCCATGACGAAGATTATTTTTAAAGGGACTTCTAAGATGTGATGAAGATGTCTATATATTTTCTTGAAATAATTAATCCTTGATTATAGTTGTGCATTGGTCATTACCAAATGCCAAATTTCAGGATCTCTACATATAATGTATTTCCTGACTCCTTTCCTAGGAGTTTTGAAATAATGAATTAAACCAAGTGACATATGGTACACATTAAAATTTTGCCAATACATTGCTAATATTTGAACACTAGCAAATGGTTTGGTAAGGCACAAATAATTTGGTTAGCAGCACAGGCATTGCTCCCACAGCTGAGGATCC